CCAATTCCAGCAATCTTTTTGATCTTTGGTTGGGTGTGTGTTCATGATTAATCTCTGCAACTCCGATAAATTGTCTTCTTCCCACTCATACAAAGATCGTCTCCAATGTAGTGTCCATTGCCAGTTTTTTCCTCTCCATATACCCATTTGGGAGATCCTCTTTTCTTTGTCTGTTGAAACAAGAAACAATCTAGGAAATCGGTTAGCAAGGGGTTGATCCCCTATCCATGCATCCTTCCAAAAGTTGATAGAATTCCCCTCACCTAGCTTCAATTTAAATCCCCTTGATATCCATCCCTCATTTTTAATATCAATGTGGTCTAACCTACATATGTTCCTCCACCATAAAGATCCCTTATGACCCGATTCTTGCATCCAATCAATCCACCTACCCTCAGCACACCCATATTTATGATTAATAAATCTATACAGAAAGCCTTCTTCCCCACTAGCCAGTTTACTCCACCATTTTCCCAACAATGCTAGATTAAACTTTCTAAGGTCTTTGATCCCTAATCCACCTTGCATTTTGCTTTTACACACATTGTCCCATGAAACCCAGTTAATTCTCCTCTTACCCTCCCCTCCCCCCCATAGAAAATTCCTACGAATTTTATCTAAAGAAAGAATCAAACCTTTTGGTAGCAGGTGCGTTGACATAGTGAACACTGGAAGATTGGACAGTACTACATTAAGGAGAGTAATCCTTCCACCAAAGGAGAGGAACCAACCTTTCCATGAACTCAATTTCTTCTCAAATGTCTCAATCAAAGGTTTCCACATAGCAATGTTTTTACCACTACCTCCAATAGGCACCCCCAAATATTTGCAGGGGAATACTCCTTGCTTGCAGTTCAGAATGTGAGCCATTTTTGACATCCATGCATCTGATACATTAATGCCCATTAGTTGACTTTTCCCAAAATTAATTTTCAGTCCCGACACCAGCTCAAATATTCTCATTATACTCTTCGCTGCCCATATATTACCCTCCACAACTTTACCAAACAGAATTGAGTCATCAGCAAATTGTAAATGAGACACTCTCATACCCCTGTTGCCAATATTGACACCTTCGAATAATCCCTGGTTGATTGCTGAAGAAATGATGCCATTAAAACCTTCTGCAACCAGTAAAAATAAGTAGGGAGAAAGTGGATCTCCTTGTCTTAGGCCTCTGTTCATTTTCACTTGTCTAGTAGTACTGCCATTCAGAAGAACTGACACCTCTACTGACTTCAAACATTCATTTATCCACCTTCTCCATTTAGGATCGAAGCCCATCCTCAACATCATGTAATCAAGGAACTCCCAACATACCTTGTCATATGCCTTCTCGAAGTCCAGTTTAAACACAAAGCTGGCCTTCTTGTTTCTTTTCGCTGCATCAATTGTTTCATTGGCGATTACAATGCTATCAACCATTTGTCTTCCTCTAAGAAAAGCCATTTGACTTTCTCCAATGATGCTATCTAGAACCGAGCTGATTCTATTTGCTAGAAGCTTCGCGATCACCTTGTACATCACTCCGATTAATGATATGGGCCTAAACTCCTCAATTTTCTGGGGGTTGTTAACTTTAGGTATCAACACAATGAAGGAACTGTTTGCTCCTTTGACCAATCTCCCATTTTGGTAAAAATCATTTACAAATCCCATCACATCACCTCTGATTAAGTCCCACATTTCCCTAATAAAATTGAAATTAAATCCATCCGATCCCGATGCTTTAGACCCTTCACAACTCCACACTGCTTGTTTGACTTCTTCTTCGTTGAATGGAGCAAGTAGCAAGAGGTTATCTTCAGCTGAGATCTTCTTGAATTCTATTCCATCCAGGTGAGGACGTTGCCATCATCTTTCTTCTGTGAACAAGTTCTGAAAATAATTTGCCACACCTTCTTTGATTTCATCAACTTGTTCCATGTATTTGTCACCCATCTGTATGACAACCATTTCATTTTGTCTCCTTCTTCCCTTAACACACCTATGAAAGAAACTTGTGTTGGCTTCCCCATCTTTAATCCATGCCTTCCTGGCTTTTTGACGCCACATGCTCTCCTTTATTTTTTGGTGTTTTCATAATTCTAGAAAACTATTTTTTCTTAGTTGTACCTCTTCTTCAGACAAAGGAGCCACTTCACCTTTTAAATCAATAACAGCAATGGCCTCCTCATATCTTTTGATGTTAGAGTCTGTCTTCGAAACCATATTTCTACTCCATACTTTCAAAGCTTTCTTCGTTGCATTTAACTTTTCCTTTAGTCGGTAACCATACCAACCTGAGGTTAATGTTGAGCTCCACACCTCTTCCACTATTTCTTTACACCCTGGTGAGTTAAGCCACACATCAAAGAAGCGGAATGGCTTAGGGCCCCAATCAATTGTAAGGTTTTTCATCAAAATTGGGCAATGATCTGAATTTGTTCTCTTCAAGCCCCACTGTTTAAGGTCACCCCATTTGAGACACCAATCCTCTGAGAGCAAGAACCTATCCAACCTACTCATGACATCTCTATTTGGTTTATACCATGTATATTTCCGGCCAATTAGAGGAAGATCAATCAGACCACATTCCCTAATAAATTCATCAAACTCTGCCATTTCCCTCCTATTAGATCTCCCTCCATTCCATTCATACTCACTTCTTATGGCATTAAAATCTCCCATTAAGCACCAGCAACCACCTGCTTCCATCAACAGTTCTTTAATGCTGGACCACAAGACTCTTTTGCTAGACAAATCACAATGTGCATATATGTTCAAAATATGTACTGGGATTTTTTAAACCCCCCAGAATCCATGTACACCCACAAAACCCTCGCCTTCAACTATACTTTCTCTTTTCAATACATCGCTATTCCAAATACATATTAACCCTCCCGAAGCTCCTCTCGATGACTTTGCTACCCAATCAAAATTATCTGCCCCCCATATGGATCTACACAGCTGATAATCAACTACTTCTAACTTCGTTTCTTGAATAGACAAGAAATCAACTTTCTCTTTCACAACTAGCTCTCTGACTCCACTCTTCTTACCCTCCCCCCCCAAACCTCTAATATTTATTGATAGAAAGATCATTTAAATACAGTACCACCATTCCCCTCAAGTACAGTGTTACTACTGACCTTAGATAACCTGAATAGCTCCTTATCGCGATCTTCCATGCCTTCTAGTTTCTGGATCACCTCTCTTTCATTGCCACGGTCTCCCACTCCAATTTCCTTTGCAAATGCCCAAATCTTCTCTGCAATACTAAGATTTGTACCTCTGCGTAGGCTCTCATTCCTGTTTTCAATGCCACTATCGGTGACTGACTCACCTGCAACTTGATTGTGGGATCCAGGAGAAAATTTCGGCATTCTCTCCTTCATTCCCTGCTCTTTTGATGCTCTCTTCCTCTCCTTCGGCTTGGGCACCCGTTCCTCTTTTCCTTCCTCCATATATACTGAACAACAAGATCTGCTTTTCTTTTTTCTGTTTCGCTTTGGCTTCCTCTGTTTTCTGCCCATCCATTCTTGCTCATGCCCCGATTCACTCTCAAAACCCTTCCAAAAGGATAGCTCCAGCACGGCGTTGTGGAGGTCGGTTGACACTGTTCTGACATTTCCTTCTCCATCTTTCGCAGATACATTCCCTGTATTTGTATTTTTATTAAATACAGAATTTGGCCCAATACTCTCCACATGGCCATCCACTACCTCCTTACTTAATCTGCCGTCTTCTATTTCAAGTGCAGCTTATTTAGTAGACCCATTGTTGTTATTGGCCCAAGTCTCGCCTATCTCTACTGGGTTTAGCATTCCTAAAGGCCCAATGGATACCCTCATCCTACTCCTGTCCATATTTTGAGTGTTCTGTGCCTCTGGACTGTCCAGTACCACCTCCTTGTCAGCTATATATCCTTCATTATTGCTGCTGCAGGTATATTGGATTTTGTCATCCCCATTAGGTAGTAGATTATCTCGGGAACCATCTACATTAAATGAGACGTCATTCACGGCTGAGTTTTGGTCTCCCTTTGAATTTTGGCTCTTTTGATTCCAACGGTAATGAGGTTGTTCGTCCATGGTTTCAGCTTCCATCCTCCTCTCCTCCTCTACTTCCACGTCATTATCATCCTTCTTCTCGCCGGTTGTGTTCCGGCTGTTCTTTGAGCTGCCACCGCCCAGAAATGCATCACTTAATTCATCATCTAAACCATTGCCTAATGACCAAGATTCCGAACTCTCATTGTCCGATCCACTGAGTTCCTTGAATACATGGTCTAATTTCATGGAAAAAATTCCATTGGTGGCTTCTTCCTCCATTACTTTAATTGTGAATGGTTCACCATTGACCTTGATGCTTATGTTTTTGGATATGAAATCCATCTCTGAGGTAGAAATCAACATTCTTCCAATATCAAACCTCTGTTTCTTGCTAGTACTATCATCCAGCGTTATGAACTTCCCCCACTTTGTGCCAATTGTGGCAAAAAAATTTGGGCCCCAAGCATGAACTGGAACCCCCTGGCACCGAAGCCAAACAAATCTCTCCCTTGCAACCATTGCTGTATTCCATGGTTTAATATCTAAGAACCACTATCCCAACCATTCTGGAGCCAACTCTACAAGATCTTTGATCTCCTCCTTATCTCCTCCTTCTAGTAAAACCAAGCGCCCTCCCATTGCTCTTACTTTGCATGAGAAATAGCCTTCCATGAAGAATTTTTCTTGTAAAGTAAGGATTATCTCAACTGAATGTGCCGTCCCGACATAGCATCCTTGCAACCATGAGTACTCTTCCTCCTTCACGGTGAATTCTATACCATCACTAACCTGCTTCTTGTCTTTTACTCTCCAAATTTTCACTGGATTTCTATTAGGATTGCTATTCTGTATCTGCCAGTGTTCCTTCTCTCTCTTTACTTGCTTCCCATTCTCAATTGCTGCTCTTGTTTCTAGCTTTCCTTTCACCACTTCAGCATAAGTTCTTTACACTCCTACTCCTTCTTTCTCTCCGTGCCCTTGATCTGAACTTTTGAGACTTTCTTTTCCTTTGAATCTTGGTCTGTTGACCCATAGTTTGAACTCCCCAACCCAGATTTGGTCCAGTTGATGCTCCAGCTCCCACTCGTTTCTTACATCTAAGAATCTGATGAACCCAAATCTGCTCCCCTTTTTTGATTTCCTCAACGGGCTGTAGATGTCCAGAACTCTTCCAAATTTACGGAAAGTCTGCCACATGCTTTCTTGTTTCCAGTCATCAGGGAAGTTAGTGAAGAAGAACACAGTGGCCTGGTTGTATACCCGACGATCATAACCCCAAATGTCTGGTCTCTTGGAACTGATCTCTCGTGCATTAATTCCTTCATACGCAGGTTGATTCTTTCCTCTGGTTCTGAATCTCTCCCAGTGCTGTACTGTCCCTCTGCCGCGTGATCCACCACCGTCAAAGCACTCTCGCTCTAACCCTCTCATCTCTCGTGTTATCTTTAAAATACGAGGAATGTATGGTTCCAAAGTTAATCGACTTTGGTTGCTTATATTATTGTGGAATTGGTTGCTGAACCTAAATTAATAGTATGAATGGTTTGTTTTAATTGCTCGGGATTCATGGACATAGATTTGTCAAGTTCTGTCAACTGTAGTTTTACTTTTGTTTTGAACTTTTAATTCTATGTGAATGTTTATTTTTAATTTTATTGTTTCAATTGTTGGAGTATAGGTGGGGATTAACACTTTTGATCATGTTATTTTAAAGGTTTGATTAGGAGATAAGTTAGAAGGGACGAGGATCTGAATGTTTATTTCTAATTTTAGGGTCATAATTTGATTTCAATAACGGCTTCCGAAAAATATTTTTATGAAATTTTTTCTTTCACAGACTAGTTTCTGATCCTTCAAACACCATGAAAATTTTTTTTTAAAATGTTTTATCATTGTTTGGTAAGTTAAGTAAAATTTCAAAAATATTTAAAATATTAATTAATTAAAAATTAAAGTTAACATTAAAAAAAAAAAAATTTAACGCATTAGGCGTGACTCGGCCAAACTCGCCGTGGGAGTGAGGTTTTTCCATCAGCGCTTTTTACCTTGAACAATTTCGAACCCGTCCCATACTCCCGTCCATCTCCGGGCACGCGGCCGAACTCGGCGTTGAGTCTGTCATTCTTGGCCCACTCCCAAGTGGACGCAGCATCTCCTCTTCTCCATTTCCAATTGCCAAACAGAGACAGAATCTATGGTGTTACTAGCCCATTTGGTTTCTTCTTCCATTTCTATCCCTGTTTCTGAGGCCCCACGCCACCACCTCTATCAACAGTTCCTCAGTCTTCCTTCGTTAAATAAATCATACCCACTTCACGTTACCAATCGTGTTATTTTAAAAGTGTTGTTCGTCTGGAATTAACAAAGTTCTAATATTTGTCTGTGTTTATTTATTTTTTTTTTTTGAACATTTTTATCATGGACCAGCTCAAATCATTGTCCCTTAAAAAGCGATACGAACCTTACAAATGTAACTAGAGCCACTTAATCCGAAGAGTCAAATTCAATATTTGTCTGTGTTCGTGGGTGTATATTCTTGGGTTTTTCATAATTTTTTATTTGGTGTATATATATATATATATGTATATATATATGCTTGGCGGCGATACTGACGCCAGTGACACTGTGGCCAAGCAAAGTTTGACTCTGGAAACTTCCAAAGCCTTTTATTGTTTTTACGTTGCCACGTTCGTGACCTTGAAATTGTATTTTTCAATCAATTATTTGACAGTTACAGTTACGAAAAGAAGATTATGAAAAGAATTTACTAGGCTTTTTTTTTTTTTCTATTGTTAGCTTGCATTTCATCTTATTTTTGTACTTTGGGGAATTAGTGGGCAGTTCATTTAACTTTATTTTTTTGTTTTTTATTTTTGGCATTATTCTTCATTTTCTTCTGGTCAAATGCAAGCTCTTTTATCCTCTACGAATGATTTAGAATATGTGGAAGGTTTCACATTATATATGTATATTTACCTATTGTTGGAAGTCATTTTAGTTTTTTTTTTTTTGTTATTTTGGCAATTGCATGATAACCTTTTTTCTTTATATAAGTGTCTTTTTTCGAGTGCTTTGTTTAAAAAATTTATTTAATTAACTTAAATTTCCCAACATCCGGGATGACTATAAGAAACCTCAAAAAGAAATTATTTTCCATTGACTCTCAGCCTTCAATTGAAAAGCTCGCCGTGCTTAAAGCTTAGCACTCCTCAAATAGATCACCATCGACATTAAAGTATTTAAAGACTCATTATGAATGAATTTAAATACTATTTTCTCATAAAATTCAAACACAAACAAATCGCCATGGTAACACTTAAAAGAAAGAGAAAAAAGAAAAAATCAATGACTTCAACAGGTGGAAATGCAAAATCGAACATAAAAAGAGAGATTGAAATTGAATTGAACCTGCACCGCAAGAGGTTGGAGGATCTTTCTAGAGATCCCTGAGACCCTTAGGATCCGCTTCGATGCCATGACCTAAACCCTAAGACAACAACATGCCAAATAGTAGATTGCCATAGGTAGTTAGGTTAAACAAGAAGAACACGAAATCGAACAAAAAACGCTGGGTTGAAATGGCAATTGTGTTTATTTGAGTATAATACTATAAGAAATTTTCATTTGTAAGGTAGTCAAAATTAGTGGATCACTTACCAAAAAAAAAAAAAAAAGACAAAATGGTCAAAATTAGTAAGTTCAGAATCCATCTCTAATACAGGGATTGCAATAGAAGAATCATAAATAAAATCATGGTTGGTCAGTAATCGTAGATATTTCTTATTGCAATTATAAAAACAAACTACTGAATTTGGTATGAAGGTTTAACTGTTTCTAGTATTTTATGTAAGTTTATCAATTTTAATTTATTTTTATAGGTTATTTAAGGAGTACCTACCATCACCAACAAATAAATAGAGCAAAAATTTTACAACTTTCATGGCACTAAAATGCCCAAGTCTGCTTAATGAATAGCTATTACAAAGTTCCAGAAAACTTGTTTTCACTGAAGAAGGCGAAACTCAAACAATGACCTTAGCTGTTTCAGTAGTAATCTAATCACTGAATTGAAAATTGATTCTGGCCTTGAAATTGCCAACTTGTTGTCTATTTACATCGAGGTTGAGCAACCGAACTTCGAAGTCGACTCCTCTATTTTAGTTGAAAGGCAGAGAGTGAGCGTCAAACGTCCCGTCCATTCCTCCCCTGGCTTCAATGTGATTGGTTTCTCAATTGCTGCCCCACTCACACTTACCATTCTCTTGTAGTCATCCTCTCCAAAATCTGCAATGGCTTTGGGTTTCTTAGCCCATAGGTTCCAAAAATTTGCAAAGGCTTTGGATTTCTTATCCCATGGGTTCCACACGACTGTTGAAAAATGCAGACAGTTTGTGCAAATCAATTTTAAGCAATCTGAGGCTAGAGTATAAGTCCAATCTGTTTCTTGAGCAGCTTATGCTTAGTCATGCTTTTCACATGGTAACAGATAACAACTATTAATTATTAGGAATTTAGGATTCCCCTCTTCTAATTATAAAGCTTAATGGATATTTGAGGAGGATGACAGTGACCCCATTTATGGTATGATGTTGCTCTAGATGGCATTTGAGAGGCAGAAAGCTTACCAACATCTGGAAGTCCTTTTCTATTTATTTTCAAGGTTCGTCTCTTTTTATGATCTAACACTTCAATGACACCTTTTGCTTCTACATAGACCCTATCCACCTGCCAATTGGGAAAGCACTGGGTAAGGCACAACTCATGTCAGTCAATAGCTTATGACTATTAATTAGAAGTAACTCTGTTTTGCAATTTTTTGTTTTCTATGTGATGTCTAGACTTGAAACTTTTTGCATTTTTATGACAGCAAAGCAGCATCAATTTCATAAAACTCCTTGCTTTACCTCAGAATCAAATGACAAGGAAATTCCTTGTTCGGTTGAGCGCGTCCCTTCTTTAAGGTTGTCATGATAGTCACAAGAATCCAATCCCTCTACTCTCACATCACTGTTGGTAGGATAAATGATTTGTTGATATCAAAAGCTTATTGAAGATAGCACATTATACATGATGGATAAATCAATAACCAAAGTTCCTTTTCAGTTATTCTATTTCTAGCGTCAACAAAACAAGCCTTTGATCATAATATAATAGCTAACCCTACCTTGTATCAAGAAGCAAGCTCACATATCATAAGATTTTGGAAAAGCTTATGATTTTCTGTTACTGGTTTTCTAAAGTGGCGATAGTATAACAATCAGAAGTTAATTAATAAACCATGTTAAAGCATTGCAAAGTACACTACTTCTAAAAAAACTAGATGAGATGGAAAATGCAGGTAGGAGTTCAATTGTGAGCCATGTAATTTCTATTTCAGATGCTTGCTATGCTAGAAGGGCAGATCCATTACTCAATATCAGAGACAGCCAAATACGTGAGATACACAAATTTGAAACTGAATGGCTTGCTACAGACATTCCGGACACGTGAAACCAGAATCAGGCTTCCATCATCTGCCAGAGCCACCGTAAGATGAAACTTGAACCTGCAAGAGAAAAATTCGTAAATGATGCACACACATTTACATTTACGTTCTGAGCTATAAATTGCAGGGGATCATTGTTATAGGAGTACAATGCAATGCATATAGGCACATACTTGTGTGGCCAGATCTTGGGATCAACTGCACATGGATCAAGTAGCAAGTCAACATGGGTCATGCCATTTTCTGGCAATGGTGGTGGATCACGATCAATGGTCCAAAGCCCGCCCATGGGAAATCCACATTTCTCCAGTGTTTCTTGGGTGCCAAACTATCACATAGATCAAATACAAGTATCAGATTAACGCAGAGTAACACCGATGAATTCAAGAACCAAATATCCGAAGTACCTGCGGGAAACATATGAGAATTCCTCCTCGCACTGCATGTGGAGGAGGCTTGTAGACAGCCTACGGTATATTAAATCAGAAAGAAAAAACAAATAATTCATCAAACAGATAGGAAAACCATAAAAAATGACGAAGAATATTCAAATGCAAGTACATGGAATGGAATCAAGGAGAACAAGGAGAATTTCATCGAACAGGTTTTAAACTATCACAGGAACACAAAAATGCCGATTTGACCATATGCTTTACTTGTGAATAACGGTACATGGAATCAATAAGAGAAAGAATTTCAAAGAACAGATTACAAGAATCCAAAAGCGGATTACCTTACTACCTATGAACAACAGTTCTTCCCCACGCTGTGTCTTCCATGATAGAACCTGCCCTCCATGACAACTAACCTACATTGATTTCACAAAACAAGAAGCAAAGAGCGATTAACTCCATTGATTACCAACCATGAAAAGGCACAAGAAAGACAAAGAAAGATTGCAGACCTCAACAGTAGCCCCCTTGGGATTCCGAAGCAAAATCATCTCAACTCCATTTCTATCTCTTCCAACTTCAACCGATCCTCTCAGACTCTGATCACTGGCTGCCGCAGAACCAGCCATGGCAAAAACACAAATCAGGGAACAAAACAAGAAGAAAGAAAACTCTATTGTATATCTTTTACTCTCTTTCTCTGTAAAATGAGCTAGAGAATACGGAGTCGAGGGTCATATATATAGCAGTTGAGGAAACTGAGTTTTGAATCAATCTACTTTTCCCACTGTAGCTCTCTGGTTTCATAAACAGTGGCATATATATGCAGACAAAATGGTTTCTATACACAATGGCACATATATAGCAGTTGAGGAAACTGACTTTTGAATCAATCTACTTTTCCCACTGTAGCTCTCTGGTTTCATAAACAGTGGCATATATATGCAGACAAAATGGTTTCTGTACACGAGGATGTATATGCAGACAAACGTGGGTTGTAGGAACCAAGTTTATTTTGACAGGAAAACGGTGGTGTTTATAGACAATGGAGTTAGTTAGCACATGCAGACAAACGTGGGTTTTTCAGATTGGCTGAGTTCAACTGTCTTGGGTCCATTAGGTAGTTTTTCTAATTCACAGATTGATATGTGATAAATAAGGCATGTGGGAACCACATGATGATATGGCTGCCTAGTGTCCAGAATGTTGTCTTCTACAACCTCTAGCTTTCTCTCCCTGTAATAATTCTATTCTCCCTAGTATTATTTGGTATCAGAGCACATCCTTTCTCGGACATGGCAGAGATTCAAGTTCAGGAGAGTGTAGATCCTTGCGCACATTTGGTGGCCTTGGTAGATCTGGCGACATTGAAGCAGACGGGTACAGTGAGTGGATTTAAGGAGCAATTTGATCTTATCTTTCACCAAACGAAACTCACTGAAAAGCAAGCAATCTGTTTCTTTGTTGATGGATCAAAGGAAGACATCCAGCCATCTGTGAGGTTGTTCAAACCCCAATCTTTGTATGATGCATATTGCTTGGCTTTTTACAAGAATCTTGCTTGGAAGAAGTTAAAGGAGTAGTTGAAACCCAAGAACCCATGCCTGCATTTGAGGACCCAAGAAGAAATCTCACAAGCCGTCAAAGAAGGAATAGCACTGGCGGTGGAAGCAGAACATGAGAAACCTTCCGACGAATTGGAAACCCAGATTCTCAGGTTAGAGGAACCCACAACCGAGTGTGCTGGAATGGTTCAGAATTAGCTGCCTATGAGGTCGCACAGGCAACCGAAGAAGAAGAGCGAGAACCTATTGTCGATGGCAACGATGTGCAAGTGGTTGACAATTCCAAATTTTGTGGAGTTTCGGGTACATTGTTGTCGCAAGGAAACCACGCTGCAGAGGTTGAACAGACCTTCGAGGAACTCAAACTCTTCTGCCTGCAAGCTGTTCAGTGAAATGCCTGAGTTATCTAAACTTGAAACCACATCAATTTCTAGATCAGTTACGGTCAGATTTCGTAAATTCAAGGGTGTTGGTGGTGATTTTGGTGAATTATGGTATGGATGTAAGCAACTTGTGCTGATTAAAGATTCCATGGCTGCAAAAAGGAGACAATACACAGATAGATTGAAGTCACGGTGCAGGGTAAAAGTTCATGAAGATTTGATGCTCCTTTGGTTACATTGGGGCAAAAGGGAATGACAGATGAATATCTAGAACCGTTAGCTCTGTTATTTGGGTATTTCCCAAGCCAGGCCTGTTAATCTCTCTATCATTTACTGGTATAAAAACTCTTGTCAATTCACTCACTAGGTCTGAGGGAATGATTGATTTACATGGCATGAAGGTGGCTTTGTATGCTGACGACAAGTCATCTAAGGGAGGTTCTGTTCATAGCCACTTGGTGCAGGACGATGTTCTTATCGGTGTGAACTGGAAGGTAATTATTCAAATTCTGAAATTGGACGCTATAATTACTGGCAGTGCTGACCAGAATCTTGAGTCTTGGAGTTCTCTTGAATTGAATCCTTTGAGTTTGATTTCTGAGCATGTGGCATGGGTTCTACATGAGAATAGGAATGTTGGCTTTTGGAATGTATAATCTATATCTAAGACTACAGGGAATGGGTTGTATCTTTATTGCCTATATGTAAGACCTAATTCTAGAATTTTGATAAAGCCATACACAATGTCAGAAGTACCGTCAAGCTGTTATGTTGCCATTCAATTTTTGGATGTCAGCGAGGAAATATATGGCATGCGTTTGAGTTTTTCATTTATAATGACTTGCATTTGGAACTTGCATATTGTCACTCTTTACACAGATTTTTTATTTTTGCCAATTGGAAATTATGGCATGGCATAAGGGAATGATGTCATGCAGGACTTCAATACTTTGATAATGGAATTTGCAAATGGACAGAAATATTTCTCCAAAGGCTTTCCTTGTGAGAATTTAAGGGGGTTTGGTTCTTTGGAACATGATGTAGCTAATGGCAGATTCTTTAATTGTCCTTCTATCTGTGAATTTATATGGTGGCTGGAATATAAGCTTTTCCACAATGATATTCAGCTCTTACCTGGGGACAATTATAGTATGTTATTGCAAGGGCATGTAGAAGATTTGTCTTGGGTTATGCCTAATAAATCTGTTGGAGTTATGTGATGAGGTCAAGAGGAAGATTTCAATCTTGAAATTATTCCCTTGCTGCAGAAATTCAGAGGAAGTTTTGGGCAAACTCAACTCTCAAGCAAGAAGAAGCAATGTTTCCTTATTCTTGTTGAGCTTCCTGCCATTTCTTCACCAATGATCAGTTGTTCTGCACAGAAAAATGGCGGATAGAGGTAGGGGAGCAAAATTATAAAGTGTTCCAATGGTCAGCAGTCTATTGGCAAATGCCACTTGGAAGGACCTTCACATTTTGTTGTTTCAATTCATGAAATTCCATACTTGGAGCAACGATGCATCTCATTTTAGGAATACAATATGGGTACTCTCTTCCGATTTGCAGCAGCTATTTCCCACTTTTCCTAACGAGACTTATGTTGAATCTTTGAAATTGGATGTGGTTCATGGAAGCACTCTCAAGTGTTTTTACATGTGCCAAGGGTATTTATGGTGGCTTGAAGGCAAGCCTTTCAACCCTGTTATTCTAGTATTGCTCTTGGACAGTGGTTCCTTGATGTTGGATGTTGAAACTCTCAAAAATGCCTCATGGAAGTCCAAGATTTTGTAAATGAGATCCTACTTTGGAAGAGTTAAGAAGGAAGCCTACAAGCCGGTCCTTCTTTATTTGTTGTTGCTGGCTTCCCAATTACAGATAAGGTTAAGTTTTCATACTCCATTATATGTAGTTGCACCAATGGGGCTTGCTTTTACTTGTTTATTGGAGCTTACAGTCATTTGGCATAGAAAGATGGTTGATGGAGGCAAGGGATTAATTCGGTGATCCAGTGCACAATCAAAGGGTACAACTCGAGAGCTTTCTGCATGAACTACAGCTGAAGTTTCCTGTATTTCATCCTTGAGGGCAAGGATGCTCTGAAGCAGAAGGGAATGATATGTGGTAAATAAGGCATGTGGGACCTAGATGATGATATGGCTGCCAAGTAGCATTAATTATGCGTTGCCGTTTTATGTTATATCAAAGTTTTTTTTAATAGGGTTAGGTTATTTAGCAGCCTTGTGTTTCATTTTTGGAAGAGTCCAGAATATTGTCTTCTTCAACCTCTAGCTTTCTTTCCCTGTAATTCTCCCTAGAATTATTCTATAATCCTTGCATTTTCAGACAGTTATTTGAGAAATATATCGAAGATCTTTCTTCATTTTCTACTAGATTTCCCTTGTATTTTCTCTTAAAGAATTTATCAAGAGCTTTAGCTTTCATTATTTTTCTCTCTATCCCATTTTACTGCGTATCGCAGATTGTTCTCCTATAATTTCTTTTGTGTGGACTTGGCCTGCGGATTAGAAAGTGCTAGTAAGAACAGGTTATGAAAGTCTTTTGGTTATGATTTGCTGTTTCTTTTACCTGCGTTTCTGATTATGCTGTCTTGCAGTGGGGATAGTTCCTGATGGAAATTTTCTGTAGCTTGAGGTGATTTCTCTGGCAATTTCTCATGGGTTTCTCTTTGTATGTGTTGTTGCCTTCTCTAGAATTACAATTTGTTCTTGGCTTCATATCGTTTTTTGTTTTGTTTTGGCATTTTTGTTTTTGTTTCTTTTTTTCTTACGCTTTGTTGTTGCAGGCTGTTTAGTAACCATTTAATGCTCTAATATCTTCTATTTTCTGCTGAAAAGGAAATGCTATTAATATTTTGTAACATTTGGTTCTGTGTGTTGATTTTGTTTTGTTTAGTTTATATTTTTACCTTTACTAGAGTTCTTGCCTTTGTCTTTTGTTTTGTTTCTCAGTTTAAGATTAGCATGCTTTTGGTGTGAGATTTTATATTTATTCTTTTTGAAACCCACATGATCTTTGTTGTTTGCCAGGGCTTTTTGTGTTTTGTTGAGCTATGTTAGATCTGAATAGCTTCTTTATTTATCTTAAATAGGTTGTGTGTTACCTTCAGTGATGTTTGCTTTGGATGTGATCTTAAGAGGGAGAGAATATGGAATGAAATGGGTTGTTTGTAATGCTTTTGGACTGTGTAATGCAGAAAGATTTTGATGAGAAGTGTTTTGAGCAACATACTTTGAAGGGAGGCAGGAGAAAGGTTGTCACTTTTACCTTTCTTTTCTTTTGTTATTCTCTTTTCCATCCCATTTGTCTGTGAAAGTTGTAGGTGGTTTTATTTCAAAGTTACATGATGCTTAATTGCATGAGAACATTTGTTCTAAAGATTGATACGCTTTACTGCAAATTAGAAGACTGGAAGTGCTTGGTGCCTGCAATGTGCACTACAAGCATGACCATTTAAAATTTTTCAGGATTTTATATGCCTGAATATTCAGAATCTAATTTGATTTTTGCATGTAATCAAATGAATTATAAAGTGCAATTGGAGATGATGTTGCTACGATAGAAGCTCCTTCAGGTGGTGGCATTGAAAGACTCTTCTCCCTTTCCTACCTTTTATGATGGTTAAGACAAATACGTATGCATCTAACAATTGCCTTAGACACGTTGAAATTTTCTTTGTACAAGTTTAAGAACATGTTTCATGATATTCCTGGTTTTTCTTTTTTTGTTACCTTTTTACATTTCATTTTGGGTAGTTTGTCATGAATTTTCTTCACATGTGGTACTTGAATTGGTGGGTTAATGTGCTTTCATCTGAAGTTTTCTATCATACATATATTTCTTTCAACCCTCATATTCAAAATTGCTTGTGAAATTTAAGGTTGACTCCTTTTACTTGCTTCATGGAGTACCTTCTTGAGCATGGCACTAATCTGGCTACAGCAAGTGTGCTAGGTGCCACGACCTTGTTTGATCTGCTGGGATATAGGTGCACAATCTTCCTCTTCCTCTTCTTCATCCTCCTTTGTATATCTCATATCTTTATTCTAGCTCTACATACAGGGAAATAGTTTGTATATTTGTTACTGTCCAGTACTCTTTGTTTTGTATTCTAAATACAAATTCCCCATCTCAAATGCTTGGAGATTTGTATACATAATTGCTTTAGGTGTATCCCCCAAGAACACCAGAAGTAGTAACTCAGTGCAGGTCTGAATTGGAGCTGCTTCAATGATGTATCCCTCTTCTGTGGCAGTTAGGTTAAACATAAAATTAGATATTAAAATAAAGAGGATATTATTTTGTATTGGCCTGAATAGTTACAGCCATATGAGAATTTCACATAGTTTTGTTATTTTAGCAATCTACCTTATTGTTTTCTATTCTCTTAGCATCTCCTTCTAGCAAGCTCTTCATATGCTTTTTTCAATTACACTATTTCTAATATAATTGAAAGGGTTAACTATGGAAATAAGTGTAAGTTTTTCTTGCTTACTCTTTGTTTTCTTGCATAAATGATTATGAAATGTTATTGGCACTAGATGAGAACAATCATTAACATGGTAGTGCATCTGTTCACCAGATAGATAGTTTACCACAATAAAGAGTGCAGGTACATGTCTGGATAAAAAGAGCAAAACAATCTAAATATACTTCTTTTTAAGTTTCCTCCTTGAGAATAAATATGTGAATTGGGTGTGTTGATTTATTTGCTAATTATTTCTATTTTCTTTGTTATGCAGACTGATGCTTTTGAAGAAGCTTGTGCTATTTGTCTTGAAACCCCAGCTGCTGGAGAAACTACATGTCATCTTTCTTGCCCACACAAATTTCACAAAAATGTAGCTTCCATTTTTTATTTTCTTTGTCTTTCTGTACTCATTTTATCATATTAACTAACAAAGATTTGATGTTTTTTCTGCTGTACATGACAGCGCATTGATCCATGACTCTGAATTCTGTTTGGTTGGTGTTAATGTTGTTGTTTTAATTCAATTGAACTTGGTTCTATATAAGTTCATATCTCTTCACCTTTTGTTTGTGAAAGAGTTAGTGTTATGAATAAGTTGGATGATGATACGAGCCTTAATTCGATAATTGCAAATAATGGAGCCATACGCTACACACCGCAACGCAGGGTTGTCTAGCTAGTCCTGTGGTATGGATGATAATATTTCTTGGTAGTTTTTCAGTGTAATATCTTTGTATACCATTATCTGTTTTTCCTTGGCATGAAGAAAATAATTTGGTAATCATCTTTTCTTTTATTTGGTCTGATTCCATTCGTTTAATTATCAATTATTATGTAAATTATAGACAAAATTCCTCAATCTTTTTTTTTTTTTGGTAGAAATTCCTCAACTTTACTGTGTAGTAAATCTTACAGTTATTCTTGATATGTGACTGATAGGATTCATAGATCAAGTAATTGTTGGACGGTTTCAGGTGTGTGGTTTAGTGTTCCTTCTTTGCTAATACAATAACAGTTTTATTTCTCTGTATGTATTTGTTCTTGCAATGTTAAAAACTTGTGTTTTCAACTTACTGAGTCTGAATTCTCAGAACTCACTGATGTAATTTCATTATTTTCTAAAGCATATATTCTTTGCTTTTCGGAGAATGGAGGAAAGAATTGGCCGAAATCGAGAAACGCAATTATGTCTAAAATATTTTATGTAGGAGAGAGTAATTTTGATTGGTTCTGCATGGACCCCACGCACTGATAATTTCTCAAAATAAAAAATAAAAAATCAAAGACTCATTCTTACCAGTTGACCCAGTCTTTTTTTTCTGATGCTCCTCCCGTAAGAAAATCTAACATAAGTAAACAAATATTTGTTCAAAAAAAAAAAAAAATCTAGCGCATGAAAAACTAAAAATGGTGATTCCCACGCTCCGATGTAGTTATTAAAATCATTGATCAATAGAGATCACCTTTCATCAGTTTCCTCTTTAAATTTTATGAGATCTCTGTTCTCTAGTTTTTATATATTTAAAATGTATATTAATTATTTTCATTTAAAAACAAATAAATAAATAAATAAAAACGAAGTGTCAGCTTTGGTTTTAACGGAAGGCCGAAAACAACAAAGTGGGCTTGGATTTAACTTTCAACCTTCTAAGTACGGAGTGGTTGGACAACTCTACATTTAGTTTCTAATCTAGTGCCGTCAGTTTCCGGTCCTACTAGTACTACCCATTTTTGTTCAAAACGAAGAAAGATGGTAAGTACGTCAATGCACTCCATCCTGCACTATAATTCAATATGAGAATCTTCCATTGCCTATCTTAAATATATATATATATATATATATAAATTGACCCAAGTTCTCACTTCATGCTCCTCAAGCCACCATTTTTTTTATCAAGCCAAGATATTTCATCTTAATTTCCTTTAATTACCTCTATGTCCTCCATAAATACATAATATTATAAATAGAATCCTAAAATTGTAATTCTAACTTGAATCCTACTAATAATATATACATCTTCATAAAATGTGTCACTACTTACAATCATACACATAGGGATCAACAAATTTTTTAATACTATTTTTGCATTTCAACTCTCATTATAGAATGATTCTAATCACCTAAAATAAAACAGTTTACACATGTAGTGTGCACAACTGTTGATGGTGCATACGATGATGCATACATGCTTACTTTTTGTTAACATCACTTTCAGTGGCAAGCAACATTGAATTCCCAAAATTGGCGACTCCCGAATGCTCACGTACTCTTCTGCTCTGAGTGGTTTAAGAGAATATATAGTTTATTCTTAGGGGTTTTATTTGATTATAAAATTTAATATTATTTATATTACACTATCTTAAATAATTGCTTAAATTTTTTATTTTAAAAATAAAAAAGTTAATTAGGATTACCATGCCGAAGAGTAGTATTTTAAGTTGCTTAAGGGGAAAAATTAAAAAAAAAAGAAGAAGAAGAAGAAAAGACAAACTATTTTAGTTCAACATGGAGTACAAATAATTGTAACTCAATTAATCAGTCATTCACAAAAAAATCACTGCACGTGACTTCTTCTTCTTTTTTTCTTTTTTTTTTTTTGGTAAAACCCAAATTTTGGACCTTTAACTTTGTTACAACTCCTGATTCGATC